AAGAAAAAAATGCATTTTTGGTTCTTCAATTATTCACAGATTACATATGTAATTCCTATATTTCAATTTTTGTAAATCTAGTCTTTCAATTATTGACCTAGTTGTAACTCTAATTCATGTCTTTCAATAATATATTAATTGTTGTAAATCAAGTCATTGTCTTTCGCCAAGCACCTTGTGCTCAGATGACATGTAGTGATTTTCTCATATGGGAGGTCATGAGATCGAACCTTAGTTGTTCCAATGAGAATCAAATACTTGGTAATGGTAATGAGTTTTGGTGAAAGCATTTTGCATGTTTGGTGGTAGGGTTGAATTGGAATGATTACCAATATTGGTATGATCTTATAGTGCGGATAAAGGTTTTAAAAATACAAGAATAAAAAATGAACCAAAAAAATAAAAACAAAAATCTAAAAACATTAATCCAAACTTGAAAATCAAATTATCAATTAGGATGGGGAATAATGGAATGCAACCCTTATTTTATTAATCCAAACTTTTTTTTTTTTTGAATGCTACTGACTCTATTACATTGTAGTATCTGTTCAAATATACTTTCTCAACCTAATGAAGCACAAAGAGTCAACAACGCCTCCACTGAGGCTCGATCTCATGACTTCCCACATGGGAGAGGTCACTACATGCCATCTGAGCAGAAGGTGCTTGGCTTATTAATCCAAACTTAAAAATCAAATTACCTATGATGAGAGAATAATGGAGTGGAACCTTATTTTATTAGAAAATGAGTTTACTAATTAAGGAGTAATCATATCTCATAGTAGTGTTATAAGAACCTTTCAACCAAACAATAACAATGACTTTGATTCTCATTCCTGATAGGTAAACCCATGAACCAAATACACCCCAAGCTTGATTTTCCAATCAATCAAATATCAAACATATTAAGAAAAGGGAAAAGGAAAAAAGTTCATGAAAAATAATATAATTCTTATCTTTCCATTTATATAATTTAGTATTTCAAAAGTTGACATACTTGTAAATCCAGTTTGTGCCTTTGGATTGTTGTAAATGTATTTTTTTTTGGTTAAAACAATACTCATTACTCTAAACGAAAGACTATATTACAACAATTGAAAGTAAGAAACTAGATTTACAAATAGATTAACGATTAAAGAACTTAATTTACAACAATTGAAATATACAGACTAGATTATAAATAAATCAACGAATACTATTTATACCCAATTACTAAGATTAACATAGCTTGGGAACTATCGGTGCAATAGGAATCAAAATGTAAACATTACTAAAGCAACAAAGATAAAGCAAAACAAGTCACGGATCGATAATGAAAATTCATTAAAAATAGAAATAACGAATTCAAGAGAGTCCACATTGAAGACATATCTTTGATATCGTGTTCCGCACCTCGTCAACAAGTTGACGAAACTTCCCTTCTTGTGTCTATGACCACCATTATCACAATTGTCGCCTCCTGCATTAGTATATCTCAAGATACTTAAGAGAGAAATAGAGATGTGTGTGTGCTTGTGTATTCAGGTTCATATGAGAATCAGTGTCCATCTTCTGCGTTTCTTTTCTTCAGCGATGGACATGTTGGTTTTTATGTTTTTTGAATTATATATTGTTTGAATATAATTTTTTTTTTTTGTGATTGTTCGGAGATATTGGTTGCGACTGTTGTGCAATTGGTGTGTGACTTATGTGCATTTTACGTGGGGGGATGGGGGTTGGGGGCGTGCAATGTTTTGTTGTGTACTTTGGCTTGTGTTTTTTTTTTTTTTTTTTTTTTTTTTTTTCACTCTCGAGCGATAAGTCGTGCATTTGTAGCATCGGTGATGTGCATTTCAGGGTTCTAGTGTGGGTGAGGTTTGAGACACTTGGGGGTGTGCATTGTAGTTGGGACTGCTATGCAGTTGTGGGGAGACTTATGCGCATTTGTCGTGGGTAGCATGCAATGTACTATTGTATGTTGTTGCCTCTATAGTAGTGCAATCTACAATAGTAAGAGTTGTGCATTTTCATGGTCACTGGTGTGCATTTTTGGCTTTCAGTGTGGATTAGTTTTTATTTTTTTATTTTTTTTATTAACATTTGGGATGTAAATTGTAGGCTGCAACTATTGTGCAATTTTTTCTTAACGGTAGTTTAATGATTGGGGTTCTTAATCCCTTGATTGGAGTAAAAGGGATGAATTTGTTGTGAGTTTCTTAGTCCAGTTGTTGGCGATGAGTAAGCGTAGAATGAGAGGGAAAGTGGGGCTCTCTCCCCCTATTTTACCTATGTGTGGGTCTTTTAGACAGATAATTTTACCCTTGTGCCTAAATATAGGTAATTTATGGTTGATAATCATAGGCCCTTTTTCAAAAAAAAAAAAAAAAAAAAAAAAAAAGAGATAATCCAAGCAATAGATTGAGAAATATAAAGGGTTCAAATATATCCATCATAATTTTTTAATGGAGACAGGTCTCATGTGATCATGATCCTATATACACACACAAGAGTAACACGATTGGCAAATTCAAAAGCGTTTGCATTTGAAGTGGTGTTGTGGTGGGTGATAGCATCACGAGTAGAGCTTTGTTGCCTAGTGTAAGCTATAGTGAGTTTGTACTTATTCAGTGTACTTATTGCAAAATGAGAGTTTATGTTTCCAATCACTACGTATGTTTACTATTTTATTTAACTGTACAAAATAAAATCCACGATGTTTATAAATATTTTTTTTATGTTTGGAAATAAAAAAAATTATTGCAATTACTACTCATTGTCTTTATATGTTTAAAAAATAAAGTCATGTGGGTTTTGGTCATTGGACTTGCCTTATAAAAAAAGAGCTTTAAATTTGTTACTCTAAAAAAAATAGGGAAAATGACACTTTTTCCCCCTGAGTTATATACTTATAGCACTTTTCCCTCCTAAATTATTCAAGTGGTTGTTTTTTCCCTGAAATGTTAAATGGACATATTTACCCTTGAAATAAATATTTCATTAATTTTTCTTCTCCAACAAATTATGACCACAATTTGGTTCAAACCAAATAGACATTATAGCAACCAAACTGAAATATTCTAATTACAATTTAGAATCGAAACTCGATATTTAGATTTTATTAAAATTGCGAACCGGGATGGCCGGTTCATGTTCCGAACTGAAAAAAAAAAATAAAATGCATTTATTTTTGAATTTAGACTATTTTAAAATAAAAAATAAAATTTTAAAATAAAGACGGTTCAAAATTGCGAACCGGATCCGGAACCGCAGGTTCACGGTTCAGGATCCAATTTTTTTCGATTCATAATTTTAATAAACTGAAATCGAAATATTGGGTTCTGGATCTGAATCATAACCGGAAAGTTTTAATTCGATTGCTATAGTGTCCGGTTCAATTGGAATTGAACAGTGGTCATCCTTACGTATACGCAATAATTTGTTGGAGAAGAAAAATAAATAAAATGTTTACTTTAAGGGTAGAAATGTCAATTTAATATATCAGGGGGGAAAATCACCACTTTTAAAATAATTGAGGGGGCTAATGTGCTTACATGAATAATTCAGGGGAAAAAGTGCTATAAGTATATAACTAAAGGGGAAAAAGTGTCATGTTTCCAAAAAAAAAAAAAAAAATTATTTGGGTATGACAAATTCATATATATTGTGAAATACATTATAAGCTTAGTGTCACGGACTGTTTTTCCGTGACCATGTAAAGACCCTAAAGAGTGTGGAAACGGCCAACTGGTTAGCAATGCCTTGCGGGTGAAGGGGACGTCAATAGTGGTAAGGGTTGTTCTGCCTTAAACGCTAAGGTCTGGCCGAGTTAGGCACGCCGACCCGATTAAGTTTGGGGAGCCTGTCGCTAGTCTTGGACTTGACTATGAAGGGGACCTGATGCGATTGAAAGACACAACTGGTTGGGAGCTGTTACCGCTTCCCTGATGAGCCCATGGCAGGGCGAAACTAGTGTGGTGCGTATGTGGGTAAGGCTGGTCTACGGGGCATGAGGGGCCTCGGGACGCCGCACGGGCGCTGTGCGCTGCATCGGACTCTATGTTCGTGTCAAAGTGGTATTAGAGCGGGACGTACTTATATTGCTGTGCGTTATGGTGGGATCCTCAGGGGTGAGGATTATGCGAGCACGGTGGCGCGAGAGGGGATGCGCACGTGCTGATGACGGCTCCACTCTGTTGGTCCGCAGGGGGCGGATGGGTCCTGTGGAGGAAAAGGGGACTCGGGTGGCCTCCAGCTCAATCGGACTACTCTTCGTGAGATGTCCTGGCATTAGCGGCGTGTATGCAATATTAAGTACGACGATCTATGGGCAGAGTCCTCTCCCCTAGCACGAGAGCGTGCTAGATTTTGGGTGGGGGAGAGTGTCACGGACTGTTTTTCCGTGACCGTGTAAAGACCCTAAAGAGTGTGGAAACGGCCAACTGGTTAACAATGCCATGCGGGTGAAGGGGGCGTCAATAGCGTTAATGGTTGTTTTGCCTTAGACGCTAAGGTCTGGCCGAGTTAGGCACGCCGACCCGATTAAATTTGGGGAGCCTGTCGCTAGTCTTAGACTTGACTATGAAGGGGATCTGATGCGATCGAAAGGCACAACTTGTTGGGAGCTATTGCCACTTCCCTGATGAGCCCATGGCAGGGCGAAACCAGTGTGGTGCGTATGTGGGTAAGGCTGGTCTGCGGGGCATGAGGGGCCTCGGGACGCTGCACGGGCGCTGTGTGCTGCGCCGGATTCTATGCCCGTGTCATTAAGGATAGCTAGTGTAATAATTATTTTCAAACAAAAATTCCTATGAGATCGTCATCCTTGAGACGGGTCAAATTTCTCATTAGTATTACATTTTTCCTCATAACTCCTCAACCCTTAAATATTACATTTTGATTTAAAAAATATTATATTATTCTCAAAAGAATGACATTTTTCCTAATAAGTATTACACTTCCCCTTATAAATTAAAATCAATTTATCAATGATTTTTTTTTGAAGGTCAACCAATGGGTTGTATTTATAGATAAGCTGCAATAGCATCAGGTGGGATAGTATCCCAATACATAGCTGTATCATACTGAAAAGCTGTAGAAGCCAAACTATGTGCTAAATAATTATGCGATCTAGGAATGAAATTAACACGACTGTAATTAAAAGTAGATATAAGATTCCTGCATCCATCAATAGCATAGCCAATATACGATCGTGACAGCAGTTGTGGTGTGGTCAAATAACTTTGAAGGGTCTGGCAATCAGTAAATAACTCAATACTTTGTTCTCCACGGTCGCGTATCCAAGATAGGGCCTCCTTACATGCATACGCCTCAGCCATTAGTGGGGAAAAACAATGTGGCAAGGGTGCACTGTACGCCGAGATAAACTGTCCATCTGGCCCTATTAATACCGCTCCTACCGTTGCTGTATTGTCTGCATAGCGGTACCCCGCGTCGACGTAGCATTTGGGTGGCAAATGAGTTGGAGTGTGGTGTGTAACGGCGTGGTGAGCTGCATGAGGCATGCTTATTTCGTTGGACTCCCTTTTGGCTTGGTGGGCAGTAACAATTGCTGTAGCGTTGTTGCTTGGTATAGTAGGCATCATCACCGTCGTTAGTGTGCTCCCATGTATGCGTCGCCATACCGCAAAATCGGCTTGGGCCATGGCTACCAATCTTCTTGGCCGGGGCAAACATGCTTCCCATACCACAGCATTCCGAGCTCTCCATAAATGATAAATAATTGCAGCTGGGTAGGCAACACCATCAGAATCTAGAATATTTAACATTTCACTAAACCATTCATAAAAAATATTTGTCACAATATTTGGGGATGGAAGGTTAGATAGTGCCCAAATGGTCTTTGTATAATCACACATAACTAATGCATGCATAATATCCTCATTTGCAACTCCACACATGGCACACACCGGATCAACCTCTACTCTTTTTATAATCAAGTTATTGGTAGTAGGAAGGATATCACTTAAAGCTCTCCATAATAAGGTTTAACATTTGGGTGGGATTTTCTGTTTCCACAATGTGAGCCACTTAGTAAACCCCATATTTCCAGTATTCTCGTAGTTCCCCAATATACATCTGTACCCATTTTTAACCGTGTAGTAGCCTCTGGGATCCCCATGCCAATACCACATATCATCATAATCTGGGGAGACTGGTATTTTTAAAATCCTGGCCACATCATTGGGTTCAAAAATATCCGTAAGTAAGTCGTGATCCCATGTACCCGTTTCTTGGTCAATTAAATTGACTACTCTGGCACTACTCAGTTGGGGTGGCATTTCTATCTGGATCATAGGGTCTTCCTCATCTTGTAACCAAGGATGTCCCCATACCGAGGTAGATTTTCCATTCCCAACTCGTCTTCTTACCCCACTACAAATTAAACCCTTCGCCGCCATAATACTTCGCCAACAGTGGCTTGGGTTATTTCCAAGAATTGCATCAGTAAAAGATTGCTTAGGATAATATCTCGCCTTATACACTTTAGACACCAGAGATTCTGTATTGGTAAGTAATCTCCAAGTTTGTTTTCCTAACAGTGCCACATTGAAAGCTCTTAGGTCTTTAAAACCCAACCCACCATATTTCTTTGGGATACATAATTTATCCCAGGCTTTCCAATGAATTCTCTGATCAGTTCCTGAGCCCCACCAATACCTATTCATTAAACGCTCAATAGCCGTACAAACAGAAACAGGTAATAAGAAAACACTCATCGAGAAAGTAGGCATAGCTTGAGCCACACTTTTCAATAAGACCTCCTTACCCGCTTGTGACAATAACTTCTTATTGCAAGATCCTATTCTCTGTCTGATCTTGTCCTCAATATAGGCAAACGCTGCTTTTTTTATTCCTTCCAATAAAGGATGGCAATCCAAGATATTTTTCATAGTTAGGAGCCTGGGTCACACCCAATACCTGTGCCATATCTTCCCTCTCTTCATCCGTCGTATTCTTACTATAACATATACTGGACTTGTGATAATTAAGAGCCTGTCCAGACAGTTTTTCATATAAGGATATGCAACCTTTAATCTCATTAGCCTCCTGCACAGTTGCTTTAAAAAATAATAAACTATCATCAGCAAAGAAGAGATGAGAGATAGGGGGGCACCCCTAGCTACTCTGCAACCATGTATCAAACCCCTATTCTGCCCTTGCTGTAACAACAAAGAGAGGCCCTCAGCACAAATAATAAACAAGCATGGGGATAATGGATCACCTTGTCGTAAGCCCCTAGTTGGTAATAGTGAATCACTACGTGTTCCATTCACCAGAAAGTTGTAGGATACAGTAGTAACACACATCATAATAAGATCAATCCACTTATCAGTAAAACCCAGGGCCACCATCATACCCTTTAAAAAAGGTCATTCCATTCGATCATAAGCTTTCGCCATATCCAATTTCAAAGCACTCCACCCAACTACTCCACACTGTTTTCTGTTCAAATAATGTCCTATTGATGCGTAGTATATTTGAAAACAAATAATTCTCGGAGTACGAGTTATCGATCCACAGGGAAGTGGTTGTATCAAGCACTAGTTACTAGCTTATTCATTAGAGCTAATCCTAACAATTACTTAGATGATTGATTGGCATAAAATAAATAAAATAAAACAGAGGTTCAGGATTTTGAAAACAATTAGAGAGAAGTTGAGATTCATGGGATTCAAGTATTTAATCACCTAGTGCCAATTATCGTTTGCAATATTTAGTTTGGAATTAAGATTTGTGTGGGAATGCAAAGTGGAATCGAATTACTCCCGTAATCTCTATTCCTAGTGAATTTCCACTCCCATGGCTTAAACACCCAATAAGATCAAAGATCAGCGTTCAATTATTCCTAATTACTACCATCTCCCGATGAGCAATAATCTAGAATAAACTTCCCCTAATAAGTTCCCCTTTCCCAAGGACCAACCATTAGGTGCAATCGTGTGTGCCCTAATTTATGCCCCAACTCCCATTGGTGACAAAAACATGGCTATGAAGCTAGTAACTATGGCCATTAATTACAAGCATCAAACAATATTATCACGATTGCAACACAAGTATTAAACCCAAATAATTATATTTTAAAGAAACTGAGAGCTCAGGCATATAGGTTCATAAACACTTTTACCCAAGAATCTCTAAAGAATTTAGCCAAGCATGACTAAATTATACATAGCAAATATAAATAAAGAATTGCAAATCATCAAAAGAGTACAAGAATTAACCAGACGATTTTCCCAAATCTCCCTAGTCTTCTTCTTGCTTTCCAAGACAACTTGTGGCTCTTAATTTCTCTCCTTCTTGTCTCCAAGAATCTCTGAATTCTCTCTGTGTCCGGTCTCACTTGTTAGGGTTGAGGAAGGAGGGATTTTATAGTGGGTACAAAGTTGAGATGAAATAGGAATCTTGTACCAAATTGGACTCAAATTCTAATTCCTATATTTAAATAAAGAAATTGTCGTCTTTAATGATATTTAGAATTTGGAAGATTCCTTGAATTGCTAACTTTTAATATGGAGATATGAGCCTTGAAATCCGCGCAATTGATATTAGGAAAAGAGATCTCGGGCTTGTATTGAATTTTGCCCAGCTGCGCCACTTTAAGCGTCTGTTTTTATCCCAGAAACAGACGCATATTCGACGCGTCGAGAATTTTCTCGACGCGTCGAGACTTCCTGTGCGCGAATTAGTTAGCTACTGGAAAATTTCGACGTGTCGAGCCAAGGGCTCGACGCGTCGAGTCCACTGGGCCCCGAACTCATCCAAAATTGCTCCAAACTCATCCTTGAACTCCCCTTGGTCATATCTTTGACCAAAAATGGTTCAAAAACACTAACAAACACCGTAAAATATTCAAAACAAGTGCGAACCATAATTAAATGATAATAGCAAGGAAAACATGTATTAATTAAGCAAAATTAAAGAGCTTAATTACTGTGATGATTCAAAATAACCATAAAAATAAGCACAGATGTGATAACATCACCCCCTCACACTTAAGCTTTTGCTTGTCCTCAAGCAAAACTAAGGAATAAAATCACAAGTCAAAACGTACAAATTACTCATGCTCTCTCTTGCACAACCTTTCAAACCACCAACCCACTTGCTACAAAACAACAAGCTTCAAGAATCAAATTAGTTTGGCACATAAGAGACCCATTTCCAAGCCAATAACCAAGCACCAAGAATTTAAAGCATGTGAGGATCAAATGTGCACAAATACTCAGTTGAGGTTATGCAAGATACGGTTCATGAATGAGATCCCTTAGGCTTGCCTTTCATACTCCCCTAGATCAAATCTAAGAATGCATGCTAAGATCAAATAGGACTTTATTTAGCTTGTAATGGGGCTACGGGTGATGGCTAACAAGGAAGTGGTATGGAAAAATTAATCAAAAAGAGAGAATGTCGTAATTTATCTAAACTTTTCAAGATTTGGAAGAGATGAGATGATCATAATTTCAAGGAGCAAATTTCTTTTAAGAACTTAGCAACTTTTGGTAAAGTGGGGATCCAAACTCAAAAACTTTCAAACTTTCTCTTTTTTTTTTTTTCTCATTCTTTTCTTTGTCTTTGGACTTCTTTTGGATATAGCAAGATAACTTTAATCCAAACTTTCATGACCTCCACACTTGAGCATTTGTAACACTGGCTGCTTTTTTTTTTTTTTTCGTAGCACAACTCCATAAAACTCTTCATACGGAAAAGATAAAGATAAAAGTTTCATTCTCTCAAGGGTGGAAGGGAAATATTTGGCCACGGGCTAAGGGTTATAATAATGGGGTAAATCAAAGAAAAACAATCACAAAGAGGGGATAAGTGCTTAGCACTTATTTGAACAAACAAAAGGCACAATGGGGATACGAAGGATAAAATATATATAGGGACAGGTTTAAAGGGTATGGATAAACAAAAATGGCCTAAATCACTTCAAAACATGCAAAACTTAGACATCACTTAGGGAGTAATGAGGCAAGTTCTAGCAAAACACCCATGACCGGAATCTCACATAAGCCTTCACTAGCAATGCAAAACACAAGATCAAGAACTAATCCAATTATTAAGTGGTTAACAAAGCTATTGGCAAGAGAATAGATCAAATATGTGTTACACCTCAAATCATCCATCACAAATTGAGATGCAGCAAGCACAACTAAAACAAACCACAAACCAACAAGAGAGAATAATTGTAACTGCATGCTAAGACAAGTAGCTTATTCACCAAAAATAGCATATGAGTCATCCAAGCAAAAGAAAAAATTTTAAAAATTTAGAAATATCCCCAAATTAATGATTCCTCCCCCTCACACTTAAAACTTTGCATCATCCCTGATGCAAAATAAAAGAAAAGGAGAACGACAGAAAAGAGAAAACTAAGAAGCAATAAAATAATCACGAACTAGAAAATAATAAAACTAAATAAGACGAAACTAGAAAGCAATAAATAAATAGGGAAAGTAATAAAAGATAACATGGGGTGCCTCCCATGAAGCGCTAAATTTAATGTCGTTAGCTCGACGTTACCTCTCTAGCCATCAAGTGATTGGAGAAGAAAAATCCCCTTCTTTCCATCAACTTTCTCTTCCAAGTATTTCTTCAAGTGGTGTCCATTTATAAACTCTCTTAAGCTCGAACCCTTCACGTCATCATGTAAGGAACCACATTTGCCCGAATCAAGAATTATGCCTCCATTCTCTTTTCCTTCTTTTTCAACACTCTTTTGTTCAACAAGTAATGAGAGTCTCGGATCATTCACATGAACCAGCAAGTATTGGGAATCATTGGATATATAGATAGGCAAATGTGTGCCATTATCCTTAAGAACTCCAATGCCTCCCAAATTCAAAATTTCTCTGAAGTTCTCTCCAAGGGAAGTGTTCTCCATTGGTGAGACATCCTCATTCAAATCATGTGCTCCATTAAGAACTTCCTCATCTAATGGGCAACTCTCTATATGTTCCTTGCCATCATTACCTTGCAACTCTACATTTTCCTCCCAGCTTGGTGTCTCCATCTCAATGCCTTTATCAAATATTTCTTCATCTTCCTTTCTAAGATCCTCATCATCCTTTTTATATCTCTCAACTTCATGACCTTCATTTAGCAAGAGCAACTCTTCTAGAACCTCTCCATTAAATGAATCTTGAAGTGGCTCTTGAATTGTCAAATCTTGCTGTCGAGCCATCATGTGATCGAGTCGAGCATTCATGCGATCAAGTTGAGCCTTCATGTGATCTTGTAACTCCAGATATTTCGAGCACAATTGCATTACCTTGGTTTCTTTGGACTTCATCTCAATTATTTGGTCAATTGATTGACAATCTTGTTGAAACTCTTGGTACGGCAACTCTTGAGCTCGCCCTTGATACTTGTAATTGGGATCCATGATAAAGCAATTTTCCGCCTCATGAGATCCACCACATATCATGCACCGTGAGGGTTGTGGAGTAGGTGGTGTGCATCTTTGATAAGTAGCTTGACTCATGTTGGCACAAAATCCTTGAGTAGATTGTTGATGGATATGGTTGGTGGGGTTGAGCATGTAACAATTTTCCACAAAGTGATTCCCACCACAAAATGAGCACCATTGGGGTTGTGATGTTTGATATGAACTTTCTTGATAATATCCTTGACTAGAGTTGGCAAAATTTGAGAAAGGGAATTGTTGTTCCATTCCTCCATATTCTCGATTCATATTCCAACTCATCTCATAACCTTGAGAAGGAGGGTAAAACGGTGGCATGGTTCCTTGGAATGCATATCTATCCATAAACTAAATCACACTCAAAACAATGAACTTGTTATGGGTTAGCAAAAAAAATAAAATAAAAAAATAAAAATGGACTAGTCTCCTAGAATAAAGATTTCACTAATGTTAATACTGGAAACACCACCTCCCCGGCAATGGCGCCAATTTGATGCGTAGTATATTTGCAAACAAATAATTCTTGGAGTACGAGTTATCGATCCACAGGGAAGTGGTTGTATCAAGCACTAGTTACTAGCTTATTCATTAGAGCTAATCCTAACAATTACTTAGATGATTGATTGGCATAAAATAAATAAAATAAAACAGAGGTTCAGGATTTTGAAAACAATTAGAGAGAAGTTGAGATTCATGGGATTCAAGTATTTAATCACCTAGTGCCAATTATCGTTTGCAATATTTAGTTTGGAATTAAGATTTGTGTGGGAATGCAAAGTGGAATCGAATTACTCCCGTAATCTCTATTCCTAGTGAATTTCCACTCCCATGGCTTAAACACCCAATAAGATCAAAGATCAGCGTTCAATTATTCCTAATTACTACCATCTCCCGATGAGCAATAATCTAGAATAAACTTCCCCTAATAAGTTCCCCTTTCCCAAGGACCAACCATTAGGTGCAATCGTGTGTGCCCTAATTTATGCCCCAACTCCCATTGGTGACACAAACATGGCTATGAAGCTAGTAACTATGGCCATTAATTACAAGCATCAAACAATATTATCACGATTGCAACACAAGTATTAAACCCAAATAATAATATTTTAAAGAAACTGAGAGCTCAGGCACATAGGTTCATAAACACTTTTACCCAAGAATCTCTAAAGAATTTAGCCAAGCATGACTAAATTATACATAGCAAATATAAATAAAGAATTGCAAATCATCAAAAGAGTACAAGAATTAACCAGACGATTTTCCCCAATCTCCCTAGTCTTCTTCTTGCTTTCCAAGACAACTTGTGGCTCTTGATTTCTCTCCTTCTTGTCTCCAAGAATCTCTGAATTCTCTCTGTGTCCGGTCTCACTTGTTAGGGTTGAGGAAGGAGGGATTTTATAGTGGGTACAAAGTTGAGATGAAATAGGAATCTTGTACCAAATTGGACTCAAATTCTAATTCCTATATTTAAATAAAGAAATTGTCATCTTTAATGATATTTAGAATTTGGAAGATTCCTTGAATTGCTAACTTTTAATATGGAGATATGAGCCTTGAAATCCGCGCAATTGATATTAGGAAAAGAGATCTCGCGCTTGTATTGAATTTTGCCCAGCTGCGCCACTTTAAGCGTCTGTTTTTATCCCAGAAACAGACGCATATTCGATGCGTCGAGAAAATTCTCGACGCGTCGAGACTTCCTGTGCGCGAATTAGTTAGCTACTGGAAAATTTCGACGTGTCGAGCCCTTGGCTCGACGCGTCGAGTCCACTGGGCCCCGAACTCATCCAAAATTGCTCCGAACTCATCCTTGAACTCCCCTTGGTCATATCTTTGACCTAAAATGGTTCAAAAACACTAACAAACACCGTAAAATATTCAAAACAAGTGCGAACCATAATTAAATGATAATAGCAAGGAAAACATGTATTAAATAAGCAAAATTAAAGAGCCTAATTACTGTGATGATTCAAAATAACCATAAAAACAAACACAGATGTGATAACATCACCTACCTCTGAAGCAATCAGAATATTATCCGTTATTAATCTGCCAGGTATAAATGCACTTTGAGACTCGGATATAATACTATCCATCAGGGGTTTCATTCTTTGAGTAATCATTTTGGCCATAATTCTATAGATTATATTACTTAGCGCAATCGGTCTTAGATCAGAGACCTGCTCAGGAACATCTTTTTTTGGGATTAACACGACATCTGTATTATTCAAACTAGGGGGCAACGAGCATGTATTCAGACAGTTTACAATAAAATTTGAAACATCACTCCCCACAATATCCCAAAAATTATGATAGAACCCCGGGTTCATCCCATCCGGTCCTGGTGCCTTATCAGGATACATCTCAAACAGAGCATCCCTCACCTCACCAATCTCAAAGGGCCGCACTAATAAAACATTTTGTGCCTGACTGACTTGTGGAGTAACATTACTAAAAATCAGGTCACCATTCATGGGGTTACTAGATGTAAATATATGCTTAAAATAATCCAGAACCACACCCGTCATACTATCCCCTTCCACCCAATCACCATGATTATCCATAATTTTAATTAAAGTATTCTTTTTCCTTCGGTTCGAGGCATACCTGTGATAGAATTTCGTGTTGGCATCCGCATCTTTGAGCCAGTGTTGTTTGGCCCTCTGTCTCCAGTATACATCCTCCTGCATCTCCTCCCGGCATAAATCCACTTCCAGGCGGTTGTACTCGGCTAGTGAGGCCGGATCGGTACATCCCCTGAGACGGTCCTGTCTTTTCCGGAGCAGTACAATTTTCTCCCCAAACTTATGGTAACGGTCTCCCCCCCAACGGGTTAACCGGTTCCCACAATGTCTAATGCAATTTTGCGTGCCCCCTCCTCTTCCTTCCTCCCATGATTTAGCAACTACAGTCCTACACCCCTCATCATAGAGCCATGCCATCTCAAACCGAAATCGTCTTGCCCCATCTCTTCTGGCCCCATAATGTCGAATTGCCATAAATATAGCCGAATGATCTGATTTCCTTGTCATTAGATTCGCAACCGTGGCCCCATTAACAATATCCCTCCACTGATCAGAAACAAGTACCTTATCCAGTTTCTCTTGAATCCATCCAGGAGTGCCTTTGCCTGTTTTCCATGTGAACTGATAGCCAGTCATTGGTAGCTGAGCTAAACCACACTGATCTATAGTCTCTCCAAAGCCGCGTAAGAGACTATTCGGGTGTGGATTACCTCCCTTCTTCTCATATTGATACAAGAGATCATTAAAGTCGCCAATTACAATCCAGGGTAAATCAGATTGCGTTGCCAACAATTTTAACAAATCCCATGATTCAGTTCTGCGTGTTCTCTCTGAATAACCATAGTAGCAAGTCATCCTCCAATTGGGAAAACCAATTATACTCACCTCCACATCAATATGCGTTTTTGAGTAACCCAGTAATCTTGCAGTATTATTCTTTTTCCAAAGTAGTGCCAAACCACCACTACGGCCCGTATTATCAACATAAAAAAGTCCTTCATAACCAATCCTGACACGAACACGTTCAGCATGTATTCGCCCCACTTTCGTTTCCATAAGAAATACAAAATCAGGCTTCTTCTTGGACACCATGTCCACAATTTCTCGAACTGTCCGTGGATTGCCCAATGATTAATATTACACTTTTCCTCATAATTATTATGTGGACTATGGTCTAGATTTATAAATAGATTAACAATTGAAAAACTTGATTTACACCAATTGAAATATACAGTCTAGATTTATAAATAGATCAATGAATATTATTTGTACCAAATTACTAAGATGAAGATAGATTGGGAACTATCGGTGCAATAGGAATCAAAATGTAAACATTACTAAAGTAACAAACATAAAGCAAAACAAGTCACGGATCGATAATGAAAATTCATTAAAAAATAGAAATAATGAATTCAAGAAAGTCCACACAGAAGACATATCTTTGATATCATGTTCAATTCCACGCCTCGTCAACAAGTTGACGAAACTCCCCTTCTTGTGTCTATGACTACCATCATCACAATCGTCGCCTCCTCCATTAGCGGTCGTGGTGGATACATGTTTATGATTTCTAGCACACAAAAGAAGAATTTGTATATCATAAGGTACTCAAGAGAGAGATAGAGAGATGTGTGTGTGCATGTGTATTCAGGTTCATATGAGAATCAGTATTCATCTTCTGCGTTTCTTTTCTTCTGTGATGGACAGGTTGGTTTTTGTGTTTTCAATTATATATTGTTTGAATATAAATTTTCTATTTTTGTTATTGTTCGGAGATATGGGTTGCGACTGCTGTGCAATTGCTGTGTGACTTATGTGCATTTTACGTAGGGGATGGGGGTTGGGGGTGTGCAGTGTTTTGTTGTGCACGTTGACTCAAGGATGGGGATCTATGAGAGAGTCTTATAAAAATTATTGCTTGAAAAGAATTATTACACCAGCTATCCTTAACCTTATAATGTATTTCACAACATATAGGACTATGTCATTCCCATTTTTTTTTTTAGAGTAACAAATTTAAAGCGTTTTTTTTTATAAGGCAAGTCCAATGACCAAAACACATATAACTTTATTTTTTAAACATATAAAGACAATGAGTATTAATTGCAATAATTTTTTTTTATTTCTAACATTGCAAATGCATGAACTGTTGCTCGAGAGTGAACAACGACACAAGCCGCAGTGCACAACAAAACATTGACACCCCCCCCCCCCCCAACTCCCACGTCAAATGCACGTAAGTCGCACCCTCGTCGGCCATCTTTCTTTGACTTTTGCTGCAGGGCGTTCGGCGGCCACCCTCCTTCTTCTTCTCCTCCTGAGCGTCATCATGGTGAAACAGAAATGCATTGTTTTCACTATGCTAGTGAGGGTTTTTATAGGATTTTTGGTTTGGGTGTGGAATTCCATTGTCATATATTTATGGCAAGACCTGGACTAGATTTACAAATAGATCAACAATTAAAGGACTATATTTACAACAACTGAAATATATGTGCTACGTTTTTAACGTAACATTTTGTAAAAGTATCAACAAGTATTTTATATTTATTGATTACTTGTGGATGCAATACCCTATAATGAGTTATTCTATAAAATTATGTTAGATCGTAAAATATTTGATAAAATAACATTTAATCATCATAACATTGTTTAAGATTAAAATAAGGGTGACTCTCTTGTGAGACCGTCTCACGAACCTTTATTCGTGAGACTGGTCGAGTCTAAGTGGAAATATAATACTCATGATGGAAAGTCTAATACTAATTAGGGATAAATTGATTGTTACTTATGATAAAAAGTGTAATACACATTTTGAAAATTGTGATACTTTTATGGAAAAATATAATAGTTTTGAATCAAAATGTAATATTTAGGAGTCAAAGAGTTACTTATGAGGGAAAAAAAAAGTGCAATACTAATTAGGGATAATTTGATTGATTTTTACTTAATGAGAAAAAATGTAATACTTATGAGAAAAATTGTAATACTAATCATCGATAAATTGATTCTTACTTATGGGAAAGTGCAACACTTATGAGGAAAATGCTGATATTTTTGAGAAAAATATAATACTTCTAAATCAAAATGTAATATTTAGGGGTTGAGGGGTTACTTATGAGGAACTTGACTCAACTCAAGAATGAGGATCTATGAGACAGTCTTATAGAAATTATTGCTTGAAAATAACAATTACACTAGTTATCCTTAACCTTATAATGTATTTCTAATATGTCATTCCCAATTAATTTTTTTCTTAGAGTAACAAATTTAAAGCACTTTTTTATAAGGCAAGTCCAATGACCAAAATACACATGACTTTATTTTTTAAAACATATAAAGAAAATGAGTATTAATTGCAATAAATTTTTTACTTCCAAAAATTACAAACATCGTGAATTTTATTTTGTACAATCAAATAAAATAGTAAACATACATAGTGATTGGAAACGTAAACTCTCATTTTGCAAGTGCAAATGCATGAACTGTCGCTCAAGAGTGAACAACGACACAAGCCGCAATGCACAACAAAACATTGACCCCCCCCCCCCCTAACTCCCACGTAAAATGCACATAAGTCACCCCCTTGTCGGCCATCTTTCTTTAACTTTTGCGCTGGAGCGTTTGGCAGCCACTTCTCCTCCTGAGCCTCATCATGGTGAAACAGAAATGCATGGTTTACACTAAGCCAGTGAGGTCTGTTATAGGATTTCTGGTTTGGATGTGGAATTCCATTGTCATATATTTATGGCAAGTAATATCTCCACATTTGGCATTTTAATAATTTTGAATTTCACTGTCGCTTCTTCTCCTTCTTGTTTTTGAAAACAAGCCCCCCCCCCCCCCCCTCCCCTCCCCCAACTCCCACGTAAAATGCACATAAGTCACACCCTCGTCGACCGTCTTTCTTTGACTTTTGCGGTGGGGCGTTCGGCGGCCACTCCTTCTGCTTCTCCTCCTGAGCCTCATCATAGTGAAACAGAAATGCATGGTTTTCACTAAAGCCAATGAGGGGTTTTATAGGATTTATGGTTTAGGTGTGGAATTCCATTGTCATATATTTATGGCAAGTGATATCTCCACATTTGGCATTTTAATAGTTTTGAATTTTGAATTTCACTGCAACTTCTTCTCCTTGTTGTTTTTGATAACAAGTGTTCGTCCCTTCTTCTCCTTTAATGTATTCTTCTTGCCTTGGAATCAAGCCGGGGTCAAACTTTTCTCCTTCATTTATGACCAGATCCACTTAATTAGCATTTATTTCTCATTGTCCGTTTTGAAAGCTTTTAATATATGTTAGCTCAAACTACCAACTGCATTCACCATTAACTTTTAGATTAGTTTGAGGACCTTATCCCCTGTGTGTTCTGCTTGAACCCTATCCTCAGCGTACCAGTTCTAAGAGCGATACTCTTGTGGCATCCCCTAAAATGCACAAAAGTCACACCCTCATCGGCGTCTTTCTTTGACTTTTGCGGCGGGGCGTTCGGCGGCCACTCCTTCTACTTCTCCTCCTGAGCCTCATCATGGTGAAACAGAAATGCATGGTTTTCACTAAAGCCAATGAGGGGTTTTATAGGATTTATGGTTTGGGTGTGGAATTCCATTGTCATATATTTATGGCAAGTGATATCTCCACATTTGGCATTTTAATAATTTTGAATTTTGAATTTCACTGCAACTTCTTCTCCTTATTGTTTTTTATAACAAGCCCTCTCCTTGTTTTTGATAACAAGTGCTCGTCTCTTCTTCTCCTTCAATGTATTATTCTTGCCTTGGAATCAAGCCGGGGTCAAACTTTTCGCCTTCATTTATGACCAGATCTACTTAATTAGCATTTATTTCTCATTGTCCGTTTTGAAAGCTTTTAATATATGTTAGCTCAAACTACCAACTGCATTCACCATTAACTTTTAGGTTAGTTTGAGGACCTTATCCCCTGTGTGTTCTGCTTGAACCCTATCCTCAGCGTACCAGTTCTAAGAGCGATACTCTTGTGGCATCCCCTACATTCCCCTTTTCCAATTTGCATGGCGTCAAGCAGTCGCGAGAAGGAAACATTGGAGACCCAGTGTGAAGCTCTACGTATCCACGACAATGAACTTAACATTCCTTTAGAGGTTGAGGACCCGTTGCACTCACTGAAGGAATACTCTTTTATTCTGGTGGGAACGTTCCTGACAGATAAAGTCATCAAGTTTAACTTTATGAAAGACACCCTTGTTGCAAATTTGAGGCTAGGAAGGGGTATGATGGTGAAAGAGGTAGCCACCAATCTTTACTTATTCATCTTCTTTCATGAAATATATATGTTAAGGAATCTTGAAGATGGGCATTGGTCTTTTGAGAAAAGCCTTCTAGTGCTTAAATCCCTTAGGGAGAAGGAGTTGTCATTTGATGTCGACCTAAATATAGCAGAGTTCTTGATTCAAATTGTAAGTGTACAAATGATACATATTTTACTCTTTTATATTGGCTAAATTATTTGTCAAAACTTAGGTTAGTTTTATTTAGACTATATTAGGTTCTGGATTTGAGTCAGAATCTACTTCAGAACAGTCTGGATCTCAATCAGGACGTAATCCATAGTGGGAGAATTTTCTCTAACAAATCCTGGTATTTAGACCCAATTTTTGGGCTGTGTTTAAAATGGTTGGAGCATCTTAATTTGAAGACTTTTGAGCTGCAAATTTTCAGACAAGTTGGTTGGTGATTTATTTCTATAAAAAGGCGTATGGGTTTCTCTTATTTGATGAAGAAAATGGATTAATTAGCTCTCAAGTCCTCTACTCTATTTATTCATTATATAGTGAATGGTTTAACAGTGATTCAAGGTTATATTGAAGTATATTCCTGGAGTTTTGGTTGCTTGGAGCTTTCGGCATGCACGTACCCGTATGAATAGATGATGAGGATGTGCTGGGTAGTTGATGTATATCGTAGTGTGTATTGTACTCCCCTTGTAATCATTTGGTGATCATCTAGTGGATTGGGCTGACATGAATTGCCCCGTAGACATAGGAGTTTTAGGGAAGTGGTGGCTCCTAACACAACCACCAAGCTGGAGCTCTAGAACAGTGACAAAGCTAACC